CCCAAATCCTATCTTCTAATGTCCCTTCAACACTAGACTCAGCAAACTGGGGCATTGGTGGGTTCTCTGGAGTCACAAGCACTATCATTTTTGATCCCCAGTACGAATTCACCCTCACTCTCATTCCACAGGCTCCCACACTAGTGCATTTATTTGCATGAGGTTGTCTCCAGGCTAAGAGTGCCCCATCTCTATAGCTCACCTGCCATCAGTGTTCGCTGAGTGAGTATGAGTGAGTGAGCAGACAGTGCTGTCTCCCGCCTCTCCCCTCGCTCCCCTGCCTCTTGCTTGAAGATACTCTTTAGCTTGTGAAGTCACCAGTGAGACCTGACTCTGGGCCCTGGGCCCCTGTTCCCAGTGGATGTCGGTTCCCTTCAAGCCACCCAAACTTTGAAGGAGGGCCAGGCCTCCCTCCCTAGGAGAAGGGGCACAGAGGCTGTACACCACCTGGAGACAGAAGACACCAGGTCCACCCCCCCGCCTTCCTCCTGTGGGCATGCACTTGGAGTGGCTCCCAGAGGCCAGTGCAGTTGGGTCCAAGAACCAAAAGTCCACCGTTATCCCGCTACACCGTTACCCGGCCCAGACCCAGGCCTTGAAGGCCTCCTTTTCAGGTCCACAGCCCAGTCACTGCTGGCCCTCTCCCCTCCGCCCCCCACCCCCCCTTGCATCTCAGCTTGTTTTCTGATCTGTTATTCTAAAAAGCACCTCTGCCCTGCCCAGTGCTTCCATCCACATTCTTAGGCCCGTGGCAGGTTAGCAAGTTGAAAACCCAATTACATTTCGATTACTCTAGTCCTAGCCAGACAGAGGTTACTGTAAGTCACACTGGAATTGCAGGGGGGCGGGGGAGATAGCACCTGGGGCCAGTGCCCTGGCTGACACTTGAAGATGGATGTGACAGGGACTTGTGGCCCAGAGGCTCAGGATTAGATCAACAAAGCAGGAGCTGGCTGGTTTCGGGAAAGAGGTCACGCAGCCACCGGCTGACAGACAGCTTGGGCAAAGTGAGGGCTTCGGGCTGCCCCTCACTGACAGAGGACGCGCCAGGCCTGAGTGCCCAGCAATGAGAGGGAGGACAGGATGTCCCTCCCCTGAGCACAGGCACCTGGCCAGGAGCTCCCGGGGCCAGTACTATTGGGCCCAAGGGCCAAACCACCGTAAGTCCTTGAGGGTCCTCCAGAGCATCACTGGCCCTTCTATGGACCCCAGGGTTTCCACTGAGCTGAGAAGTCACCCAGAGGCCTCTCTCTCAAGCCTACAAGGCAGAATACCTGGCCTCGCCCACCTTCGATGGTAGCTGAGTCAGGACCAGACGGACCAGGGGCCCAGAGTCTCCTGCCTGGCCAGTGTCTGAGGGGGAGGAAGGGTGGTCTGCTGCTCACTCATGGTCCCTTGTCCTGGGGAGCAGCCTTGTCTGGGGCACCAAGGAAGGAGGAACTGGGTTGGGGACTGGGATCCCCCTTAAGGGGAGATTGCAGTGACTGTGTAAACATTTTGGGTGTGGAAGGTAGTCCTCAGCCATGATTCCTTCCCCAGACAGACATATGCACCCCCATGTAAATTATTTGGGGGGTTCTGAGGAGTCTTTTGCTCACTCCAACCCAGAGTGTATGTGAGGCCCTGAGTTAGGGAGCTCTGAGCTCCAGCCAGGCTGCTTCTAAGCCTGGGCTGTGCTGGTGCCCACCACACACACAGACACACACACACACACACACACACACACACACACACAAGCGCACACGCACCAGGCTGTACCTTTTATGTCACTGGCCGCAACTTGTTTGTCACAGCTGTCATTTGGGTGTCCCTGCACCATCCGCCTCCCATCCCCATGTGTGGCAGCCCCCTCCCCAAGCCCTACCTATCAAATATCACAGCTCTAGATGGGGGGGGCGGTGGGGGGATTGGATGAGTCATTGCTGTGGGGGCAGATACAGCAAGCTCCACACGAGCACACTGGCACAGCCATGGACACAGACAGGCCCACACCCACATGCCCACACTCCCAGGGGAGATGTGCTGGCTGGGAGGCCAGTGCTGGTCACCGCCACACTGCACATTCAGACGCACAGAGAGGCAGCCCCCTCCCCTGTGAGCACAATGGCGCAAAGACCAATACCCCCAGCCCTGAGGGCCCCCAGCCATCAGCTCCCAGCCTGTGCTTCACCCGTGTGCGCACTTGGAGACACACACACTCACACTCACACAGAGCCCCTAGCTGAATACAGACCCCCATGCACTCGCGCCCCTCACTGGGCAGTCCCGCCTCTCTCGTGCCCCTCCCCTCCTCCATTGCCCCTCAGGAACCTCAGCACCCACTGTGCTGACTCCCACGCTGTGCCTGCCCAGGGTCAGCTTCAGGCCCCTCCTGTCCAGGCAGCCCCTGGCTGCCCCAGCTCCCTCCCACCCACTCTGTGCCTAACGCCCATGTCCAGCTTCCTTGACAAAGGGCTTTGGCTACAGCAGGGGAGATGGAAGCCACTTCTCGGGAATCACCTCCCGAGGCAGAAGGGGTGAATCTCCGAGAGGGAGGGCAGTGGCCCTGATGCGTTAGGAGGGCCCTGGGGTGAACATGGCCGTCTGAGGCCCAGTGGCTCAGCCTTTCCTGGCCTGTGCTCTGACTCTTCCACACCTTTGTCTCTGCTCTCTCCTCCACCTTGGATCCTCTCTGCTGCTGCCACAGTCCACACACAGGACTCCCTTCTCAAGCCTTGGGGCTCTGCGTCCCTGCTCCGGGAAGCCAGTCCTGATGCCCTGGTTGGGCCCCTCTGTCTTTAGCCCCTTGGGTCCGCTCACAAAGCCAGAAGGCTTGCACCGCTAAGAGCCCTCCTGCCTCTGGCCAGCCTGGGGGTTTGGAAGGCAGGGCATCCCCTCTGTCCATCCAGAGAGGACCTGGAGAGGCTTGCTTCCTAGCTCTGGCTCTGCTGTGTGACCTTGGGCAAGTCACTGAGCAATGAGTCCAGTGGCAGATCTATAAATGGGGAGAGTAACAACTGCCTCACCTGGCTGATGTGACGACTGAATGAAATGAGCCACGATGGGTGATACACAAGTGGTAGCTCTATTATCACAGCTGGCTGCGGGCAACCGCTCAGTAAACATTTGCTGAATTGCTGAATTAATCAGCCCTTCCGGCCCCCACCTACCCTCTCTGACTTGGGAGGGGGACATAGATAAGAACAAAAAAGGACTTGGGGTCAGGTAGAATGGGAGGCTGGGAGTGAGCCAGGGAGGCTTTCTGGCATGGCTCTCAGCTGCAGCGGGGCTTGGCTGGGTGTGGTTCAGGCCCCCTCATCCCTGTGACCCACCTGTGCCACCGTCCTTGTCAGTTAGGTGAGGAAGCCGGATGAGAGAGCTACCTACTCTGTGGCTCTCCTAAGCTGCGGCGGCACACAGTAGGTCTGCTCGCGCTAGGAGTGGCTGGAGGCATCAATGTTGCCTGAATGCGAATGAATGAACCATGGACGCATGAATGGAGGTGAGATGCAAGCGCGAGTGGCAGGCGAGGAGGAATGAGCAATGAGCATCTTCCTCCTCCCTCCTGGTCTTGGGCTGGG